TTTGGTACTATATGGTAATCAGAGTCTGATGATGGAGCTGGAAGGTGGCCATAGAAACTCCGTAATTAAACAACGCAACCCTATCGAGTTTGGGCTCGTTTGTATATCTTCCCGAACAAGTATAACTTCTCACGCGCGTACGTAAGTACACGCACCCAATTTTTTAGAATGCTTCAACTTCTTTTTATTACTGTTCTTTTCCATAGTGATTTATATTTTTTGATAACACTGGCTTACAATGATTTTAGACCCGCTAAAACTAAAACTGATTTTAAGTGTATTAGATACCCTGATTTTAACTGTATATTTGTAAAGAGAAGTCTTTCCGCTCCCTCAGGAGAGGTGCCCTGATCTGACATAACGACGTTAATCAAACCCTAAAACAGCAGTTTATTTTCAATTAGAATATAATCACTAATTCGTTTAACGAAATTAATAACTTAGAACGCAATCCAATATGCAAGAGCGGCCGACCGGGCGATCGCTCGCTTCTGAGCCTAGGATGGAGGAGGCCGCGGTGGGCGGACGTAGGTACATGCCGGCATGGCGGCGCGGCGACGGCGCACCGCTCGCACGCGACAACTGGCATGTACCTGGCGCCGATATATTAACTTTCTAAACGGCTTCAAAATTTAAAAAGGAGGAAGTTCTCAATTTGACTGTATTTTTTTTAATGTTTCTTACCTTAATACTTTTGACTGAGTGAACCGATTTTGATAATTTTTTTTTATTTGTAAGCTGGTACTTCCCGTGTGGTTTCATTTTAATTTGGTTCACTTCTGACAATTGCATCCATGAGAAAATCATATAAATCTTAAATCTGCGTTAACTATGTGCGCAACATTTTTGGAGTCGGTGTCTATTGCTAAATATATTGTAGTGTTTCCTTCGCTGACACCGACTCCAAAAATAACAATAATAGTAACTACATTGTATCATCGTAATAATTTGATTGACTTTTAAGTAGTCGAATATTTTTCATTTAATTTGACTTAGGAAAACTCTAAAAGTATTTTAATCATTGTTTGTTATTTATAGGTATGTGTTGAGTTACATTTGAAGTGGGTAGGTTACCTGCCTTCTTGCGTGGTAAACAAATAGATTGTATCTACATATTGATAAGTAGAAAAAGTAAGTTGATTATTAAGTTGTAGAAGAATACTCAATTGTTTTTTTTACTTTTTAGTGCATACTAATTTGTTTTGATATAGGTTTTGTTTTGAAGGCGTTTTTTTTGTTAAAATTTTTGTTTATTTAATGCTACATGTAGATTTCAAGAAATTGCAAGGGTAAAAAAAACGAATATAAAGGATTTTAAAACATTCAATTAGATAGTTTTATAAGTGAAGAGCTTCTTTTTTTTATTTTCTGTCACGGAGATCCTTAGGATATTCCCTTTTGGTTCTCCAACAATAATTTGCCATCATGTGTTCATCACAGCAACCTTGGTATCTAGCTTTCATCACTTTTAAATCTTGATGGTAACATTTTTCAATGGAAACATCTAAAGCACTGTGTCAATAGTGTATAAAGTATCTACTCAGGTATCAGATTAAACATTTATGCTCCTATTACATCCAAGATTTTTAAAGCTCATCAAATTGTCTAGAACTAAGTTCTCGTAATTTTCGGCCTTCTCATTTCCAAAGAATTTTTTACAACGCCAACTAAAGATTTCCAAGCTGCTACTTCTAAATCATTGATTCATATATAGTACGTGGTCTAGTACAGTAGAGACTTTTAGCAGACAGTAAGTCAGGATATGTCATTTTCCTTTTATTTGTCCTATGTAATTGAACAATACAAAAATAACAGTTTTCAATGCGGTTTTTAGGTGCAGTCCAAATCATAGGTACACCATACTTTAAATGACTACGTTTACCGCTTGCCCGCGGTCTTGAATATTCACTACATAAATTGCATCCAATATTTGAAACCCGCGACTTGTTCAGGGCCTTAATCTCCATTTTAAAGTAATCAAAATATGTCTTTCTCAGAAAGTCTGTTATAGGTTTTCAAAATTTTTTCGCCACATATTCACAACAAATGTAAAAAAATATATTTAGTTTATATACACAACGCCTCCTGGACAAGACATTAATAAGTAAGACAAGAAATCAATTGAATGTGATGGAATAAAGTATGACAAAATAATTTTTTTCGCAATGCAAAATAAATACAAATCTGAACGTAGTTTCAATGTTTTGAGACCTCCTAACAACTTTTTCAGGATTAGTTAACTAAATTATAAGAAAATTGTAGAACTGTAGACCACTATTTCTCTCTTTTTAAAATCTAAATAGTCGTCATCTTTTATAGTTACATTTGTTCTCTTAATCATACGATATGCATTTTCTTAATTTTTTTTTTTGCAATCTCCATTTCATTGAATTCACAATTCATTCACTCCAGCCGTCCATACACTACTCTATTTCACTAAAATTTTCTTTCAATTTTTTACGGCCAATATATATCATTATAATTAAAAATATTATAACTAACATAATTTGGTAGCGCTTAAATTTTGCTTGTTGCAATAGTCATTCTCGTTAAATGAGAAGTACTTAAAATAAAAAAGTAGTTTTAATCTGTAATATAAACATAATTTATGACGATGAGTAATGAAAGCAAACTATTTTTGTCGATGGTGTAACTGGTGGTTGGAGTATGAGTTAAACCAGATGCAATTTCGTTTCGATTTACGTCGACTATTTTTAGCGAGGTCGAACTACAAGAAAATCTGTATAGTATCTTGAACTTTTATTCCATTCTAAGAACTCCATTTTAGGAAATTAATATTTTTCTATGTTTTTTTTTTTTCATTAAAACAAAATGCAGATTAACATCGATCAATTGAGGACCAATACAAATACGTTCAGATTCAAAACGGATACAGACGTCTGGCGTAAGCGGCTGTCGCATTACACTTCTAAAAAGATGATTCGCCGGCGTAATCTGTTTTTATGGCGAGACGTCGCGCGATAGCGAAGCGGCACTTTGCACGAGCGGTAAGCGCGGTGTAACGGATAGAGATAAGAGAAACAAACGAGATATTGTGAACCGAAATGAGGTCGAAGTACTCCATCGTCTGAGAAAAAAAATGGAAGTAAATAGGTACTTAGCGATGCCAACCGCCCGGTGGGGGATGTGGGGATGTGTCTACTTACCCGAGCACAATATGCGCTCGAGATAGACATTGTGTTTGTATGGACATTTTTTTAATTAAACACTTTTCATTACAGATGTTGGACGGTCCATCACTATTACAAGTTTCCTTTTTAGAAGACGGTATAAGGAAAACTTTAAATGTCTAATTACTAATATTCAAGAAAAAGTTTTGGTCAATAAACAAATGCATTTTATATTTATGAATTTAGTTAAGATTAGAATCGGCGTAAGAACTTAATCGTCATGTATTAATTTTTTAAGTGAAAAATAAATATATGAGTGAAATGAATATGTAAGTAAAATAAAACATTTCATATTAATTGATACTCACAAGGTAATTTATGCATAAAACTATTATTAAGTACGTATATATAGCATTGACAATTTTTCTCTAAATTTAACTCTGTATATAATTCGTATAAATAAGCCGGAATACGCAGTCCTTATGTACAATACGCGACACACGTGCGCCTTGTATGTTAATGGAGCATGAAATGAAACATGTACATCAAAGACCTTTTTTTCTGCTCAAGTTTACATCGTTGTGATATAATTTTATTTCATTAGCCTTAAATACATTTGTGCCTCACTATGTAAATTTATTCTCGTCTTATTAATTAGGCTACCGCTCCAAAGCTGTGTATGGTCACTCTAAGTACGTGTATCTCCTTTCGCTTTAATAGAAATAAATCTGTAAAACCCTGCCGGTCATCCCTGAAACTTTCCGCTATCATATTTATCGATATGTTTTCGAGCTCCTTGAGTTATAAATATTGTCCATGAGATTTTTGAGCTCGTAATTTGAAACACGGTTGACTCTTCAGGCTGTTCTTGAAACTCTTAACTACTTTCAAACGCAAAGTGCTAAAAATAAAAGAGCAGTAAATTATTGAGCTCATCGTGCTCAAAAGATCGATTTTATTGCTTTTTCAAATTCTCCGAGCTTTTTTATCGTGTTTAGAAACTCTCTGAATTCAGATCCGTTTTTAGCTCATACAATTCAATAGTAGATATGTAATAAAAACAGTTTTTTTTTTTTAATTCTTTAACTACAATATCATTCGAACACGTTGTTTGATTTGATCTGCTTTATAGCATTCGACACAATATTTTAAACAGAAAAAGACGGCCGAGTAGCAAACGATAATACAACAAGAATTTCACATCTCATTTTAAAAAAGCCCTTCTTTTCCAATTTTCCGTTAACGATATCTGTCAAACTAACCCATTGACTTTAATGCAGGTTCCAACAATCGACTTTGTTTTTTAAGCAAAAGAGGTAGTTAGATTTTGGTATTTACTGATAGCAAAGTTTAAAAGATATTCTAAAAATTTGAAAATTTTTTCAACACATGCTCACAAAGATAAATATAGACAAAAATGGTCAAAATAAATTCCTATAGCCTTAAAACATCAAAGTCTGATGAAAACTCAATTTTTGAAAATCGGAGTGAGAATAATAACTTTCTAATTTTCCGAAAATTTTTCAATTTTCATAACGGAATCTTACAAATTAAAACGAGAGGCCTTTTCGCACAGCCGCATGGAATTAAATTCTTTTCACTCTATGTTATGTATTAAATGACATGCATAATAAAAAAAATTAACAATGTTTGAAAGTAATAAAATGAAAAAAACAATATATATATATATATATATTGTTTTTTTGTTATATTGTTTTAAAAAAAAAGAATTACAGTTTAAATATATATATATATTTAAACTGTAATTCTTTTTTTTTCAAAGTTATGAAGGTAGATATTTTAATACCATTCATTAGAAAAATGAAATAGCTGTTAATTAATAGAAAAAAGTGCATCAGCAATAAGCCCACGTCACGCGGGGTTTCCAGGCGGTCACCTATCCAAGTACTGACCGCGCTCGATCTTGTTTGACTTTCTTTGGTCATTGGACGAGAACCGGTTTTTTCAACATGATGTGGACGTTGGCGTTTGAAGACGCAAAAGGTACAATCACGAGAAGCTTTTGGAGTTCTAACTATCGGAGCACAAGTGTCGTGTTGGACTATTTTTTCTGTCTAGCTATAATTCGTCAAGCGACTGAAATGTAACGTGCTATAAAGAATATCTTTCCAAAAAATCTTCGTTTATATAATTAAAGTACTTTATGAACCTTTTCAGTCTTCATTTGACAGCGACTCCACAAACTGCTAAATTTTATGATGAAAATTTTCACTCGCTTGCTGTTTTTATAGTGCTAATTCACAGCGTCTCTATTAAAATATATTAAAACTACTCTCTAAATCTTTGCAGTAGTAAGTCGACCATAATCCCATTGAGCTTAATCTATCGAATGCTATTCGAAGTGATAAGTGACGCACAGACTAACATTGCCGTATATAGGGGGTATAGATTATATATTAAAGTAAAGAAAACTCATCTGTTTTCATATACATTAATCCAATTTTTTTTAATTAACTAGAATTAGTATATTGTGTATCAGACTATAAATATTCAAATATGACTTTATAGTAATATGAATATGTCAGCCGTAAAGGAATACACGTATAAACTCATAATAGGAATTGGAAACATTTTATTGAAAACAATTTTATTATAATAACAGTAAACAATGATTACCATTGAAATGAATTCGATAAAACTTTCCCGCAGTATTGCAGATGCATTATAATTTATAATAAAAATAAACAATGATGAAACCTTAAAAAATATACAAATGAGTCATCGTGCCGGTCACGCAGATATCAAGTTTTGTGTAAACATCATCTATAAAGAGGAATTTTAACAAAAAAAAACCAACTTCAAAACAAAACCTATTCCAAAACGAATTAATATGCACTAAAAAGTAAAAACATAGTTGCGTATTTTTTCTACAACTTAATGAACAACTCACTTTATGTACTCTTCAATATTTAGATACGATCTATCTGTTTACCGCGCAAGAAGGTAGGTAGGTACCGACGCACTTTAAATTTAACTCCACACATGCCTATGAATAACAAACAATGATCAAAATATTTTTAGAGTTTTCCTAAGTAAAATGAAATGAAAAATACTAGACTACTTAAAAGTCAATCAAATTATTACGATAATATAATGTAGTTACAATTATTGTTATTTTTTGAGTCGGTGTCAGCCAAGGAAACACTACATTATATCTAGCAGTAGACACCGATAGCTATTACTGCACTTTCTACAACCAAAAAAGAAAGAATAAGAAATACGGACTCGTTATTTTTTATTCTTATTATAAATTTTTCGTAAATGCCCGCGATTACGCTAAGGACATCGCGGGTGAAAATAACGCAACGTTATATTTACAGTTGCGTTTTTTTTAGCACTGCGATTAAAGCCCTTCGTCTCTTTCATAAACCTTTATGTTGACAGTGCGCTATATGTAATTCGATGTATAAGGCCCTTTGGCGCTCGCTGAGCGCATCGTTAGGTGCTAAAAGATAAAATTCGACATAGCGATATTTTTGAATATAATCAAAAAAACCGTTAGTAATTTTTCAACAGAACCATTTGGAAAAGACACATGGACAAAAGCTTGTTTAGTTTCATCTATGAAATAAGGAATCCAATCAAATCTGATACATGTTTTTAATTACTATTAAAAATTACTTAATTATATTATTATATTAATTAATTAATTTTAAGATAAAGAAGAAAAAATCTAAAGAAAAACATTTTTAAATACTAGGCTAAGTTTATTCAAACGGTTTTAAAGATACTCTAACGTTCTTGCCCAAAACTCTTCGTTTCTCTCGATAAGTTACATTGTTGATAATTTAATATGTTTAAAATAATGCAAACGTGAAACAGCTCATATTCGATAGACTCCCCAACTCCATGAATCTGATTATATTAAAAAACAAATGCAGTAAATCAATAAAACCAATCGAGCTAAATAGTGATCACATCCTTACGGGCCAACTACAGCATAATTGACGGCACAAGAAATATTTTTTCAATAAAATTTGTTGTTATAATTATATTTTGTAAGATACTCGAAATGATACAAAGTTTGAAGAATAAAGGTTCCTCTTCATAATAGAGAACATTTTATACCAAATTATTATATTATTAGTCAGATTTATTAAAGTTGAGTAAGCTTCATGTTTTCTGTTGATGGAGTTTAATGCACAAGCGCGATGCGGCGTGCAACACAATTAATGTTTAAAAAATAAAAGTTTATTGCAGAAAAAAAATGCATTATTATCATTGCAACGACCAGTTTGTCTACCAAAACAACACCGACTCTTAAAAGTGTGAAAGATAAAACCTAAAATATGGGATGTAAACTCAACATTATGAGATATAAATTATATCTGACAATGTTAAGTTAAAAGCATATAACCTATAATTCGACTTTATATACTAATTATTTCTATGAAACATTCAATATTGCATATAAAATTGACTGTAATATCTGAACATTTTAGCGTAGATAATACTTAAAGCAAGTTATCATTCATCGTATTCGATTTTTGCTGAAGTGAGTTTCCGAAGTACCTCAATATTAACTTTTTAACATATTGTAATTTTTACAACACAAACACTTTTTCACTTGTAGAAATTGGAATATCGCCAGTCTCTGTATTATATTATATTGCCACGAATGAAGATACTTGTATAGGTGCACGTTTACGGACCTATTCAAGTATTTTCATTCCATCTGTTAGTGTGCATTGTGTACTTCTTTAAATAAGCTCGTACACAATACACACAAACAGACAATAGATATTTGAGGACGTGATATAAATAGCAGGTATGACAACATAGAGAAAGACATAGGTACTTGCAATTCTCACGTATTTATTAGATATTTATCACGTATAGAATTTCTACATTAAACAAAGAAACCATTAATGAGGTGGACACACTCAGAGCCATTACCTAAACGGCGATGCTATTTCTTCTCCCGTTTACATATGTCTTGGCAACTGTGAACTTAAGGTGTGCAACCGACAATCTAAACTCTCGACAGTTTTATTTCTGCTTAGTTCGGAAGAAGGAAGGCAAATTATTTGGCTGTCACTTATTATTGGTTTTTCCGCAACTGATTAAGACGTTAGTGTTTGTGAACTTGTTATTATTAAAGATTGCTAAAAGTAACATATGAAATTGATCAAAACCTTCGTATATCGATTTTACAACTGTATTTCTTTTAAACATTCACTTTGACCACTAAGCTAACTTTTTCATGGTAATATGAAAAGGTCGGCTCATTACGGCCAATTCGCGTGACGTAAATGTAAATTATAAAGAAATTTTAAACTTAATTGGTTTTTCCGGGAAAATAACTAAAATATTCAACGTATGGGACGGTGACACATTAGTTCGAGCAACGTCATTCTTGCATAGTTTAAAAGAAGTTGATTTTACCTTCTTAAGTAGTTTACTGCATGGAAAAGAATAAAGATTTTGAAATATTTGTAGAAAATTATTCATCAAAATTTTTGAACATTTTTAATAATACTGTGAGCATTTGTGGTCAGTTTAAAAGGAAATGACATGTAGACGAAATCAAAAGTCACTACAAGTGTACATTTATTGACGCAACAGGTAAATATGTTAGCGAGTACCGAGACCGCTACAAAAATTTAATGGATTTAAAGATTTTTGAATTACTATCGTATGAAATTTTCAGTTGTTCAATCCCGTTTTCAGTCATTCTCTACTCTCTCTAATCTCTCTCAATGATTTTGTAAATGTTTACATTGGCCACAATTTTTGTTACAGATCATTTGGAAAACAAGTTAAAATGCGCCAATTGTCAAAGTTCAATAAATCTTAATGTATGTAAAAGAGAGAACATTTGTATTTGTAGAAACTAATTTATAAATATAAACAGTACTTTCGTATTATCATCAACTGTTTACGTTTAAGTAAGACCTTGTAAGTGTATTCCTAATTTCACATCCTAGTCTGTAATAAAATAATTGCAATATTAACATTAACATATCAATTCTTTTATACATGTATAAATTGTATCACGAGAACTTTGTTTTTTTTTCCTTTCAAATTTCCATTCGTGATCTGATGTTCCGAATCACTTTCTATTTCCGTGTACTTAATGATATGACCGATGGAGTCTCACTTTGAAACCGTACAGAGAGTCAGAAGGAACGCTAAGAGGGGGAGAAGAAGGAAAAGTTGCATTCGCTACGGAACAGAGTAAAAGTTCAGTCCATCGACCCCGGATCATCATTGTTCTGCAACAAGAAGCACGATGTTCTTTTATGACATAAATTCGGCGGAAGTGAGGCGATGTTCACGCATTTTTGTTCATTGGTATACTTATTGTTTGAAAATTAGGATCTGTTTTGTTTAAAATTGAAGCGCATTGAAACTGAAAACTCAAGTTATGATTTATGAAACGTGACAAATCCGAATGTCATTAAATAAAAACGATGAGAGTTATTGTGTAGTGGTAACGCGGTATTACGGATTCAAATGTGGTCCTATCAAAATTGAACACGAAAGTTCTTGTAGTGAAACGTTGGTACTGGACTGCCTATATTGAGCAGCTGATTTTCTCCATAAATGATGCGCTTAAACACGAGTAAGGGCATATTTTTCTATTTTTATAGAGTGATTTTTACTCTCAGCTCGAGTTTTAAATTGTAAATCAATTGCTGTGTTTTTCGGAATGTAAAATTCCATTTAAACTATTATAATAAATAACATAACTTATGATGTCATAAATAGCCATGTTGAAAATATTCTCACATAAATTAAAACGCTTTTTTTTGTGCATTAAAAACACACAAATACGTTTTTAATGCACAAAAAAAATGAATTTAGTCTAAATATATGAATTTTGTCATCCCTCACATCGACGACCGAGATCAGCGTCGGGACAAGACAGCGCCGGCGCTGGTCGTGGGACTGGGAGCGGCCTCGACAGTGAAACCAGAATTGACATCATTCAATCGGTGTCAAATTAGTACAAGTGCCAA